ATTGTGCTCAAGGTTTGATAATGCAGATAATTTAAAGCAGCTTTTACAGGCACTTATTTTGGCAAGACTGTGCAGAAACTAATAATAAAATTTCAGTGGCCTTAATCAACCCAATACATGATGTAATGGTGAAAAATAGCATGGGAAAAATGTTCATACAGAAATAAATTATCAGACAAATTTTCTTAAAATAAAAAAAACCTCAATGTCAGAGAAATGTCAAATCTTTCTTTAAAAGCGTGCTGAAACAAACTCACTTCAAACTGCAATCTTGTGCTCATTTCTCAAATATTTGCCTAACTGGAGAAAGATTAGGCATAAAACAAAAACTTACTAGTCAATTATTTTAGTCTTGAATCCTTGTTCAGGAAAAAAATATTGTATCCCTTTTGCAGTACTACTTGGCAGCCACTTAATTAGTCAGTGATTGAAGATCTGCTACAAGGGGTAATCATTCAAATGCAGTGAGTACCTATTTTTGTATGAGCTGTTTCTGCATTACTTCCATGCTTTGATGAGCAGTGGCGCTGCTGACATTTAAAGTGTCCTTGTTGCCATCAGGTCTAGTATAAGCAGAAATGAAACTCTTTCACACTTGGACTTGTCATTTCTTGTTCCCTACAAATTCAGATAGGCTGTAGGCTACCTTTTTGAGGCTTTCTCTGTAAACATACCAGCTATACACTGACTTGTTGAAAACAAGCACGCTTCTCCCCCTAAAGTGAAACAAAATGCAGTCAGCTGAAACTCTGGAGAACATTTTAAGGTGCCTGAGAGTTAAATTTTCATGTAAGTAAAAAGCTTTCTGACAAAAGATTGTTTATTTCAGAGAGTGATTGTTTCTAATGCCTGGATGGTTTTACATGTTAAAGATCAGCATGAAATCACACTGCAGAACGATCTGTAGTGGTCTGGGGTCCCATCATGTAACACTGAAAGAGGTTATCTGGTAGGTGAAAAAAAGCCTAACTAAATTAAATTTGACAGGTCTATTTTGTAATTAAGCTCTGTGGAGACAAAATAGGACAAGATGGTATGATGCTGCCCAAAAGAGGGGCTACTGGGTTTCCATAAATAACCCCTGGCAAAATTAGAATTTGGCAAAAAAAACCGTGCCCAACTAAAAGATTCTGTGTCACTCTGATCACAAAGTCCTGCTCAGGCTCAGGGTGCAGCCAGGGGAAGTGCCAAAGCTACTGCTCAGACAAAACCCAGTGGGTGAAATATCGAGCCTGTGAACACACATGGCTTGCACCCTGTTTTGCCACCTGTATTCCCAGTTTGAGGGAAAAGTTGCTGAAGGCACACTTAGAGTTTGGCAAGGTGAGCAGGAGAAGGGATTTAGAAGAAAAAATGAGGGGGAAACAAAAATCTTTGAAGGTCCAGAGATATTTCCTATTGACCTCAGTGAACAGTAACATTGAGAAAATGATTAAGCCTTGTTAGAGATATTGAAAATAAAGGCCAAGTTGATCCAAACCCATCATATTAACCTATAAAAACCCCTGTTTTCTTGGAGCAAGTGTGCATAGCTTTGTTTTGGTAGCTGGAAAAATGTGTGTCATAGTTCTGAACTATTTTGCTCCATTGGTCTCAACAAATCTTGCCATGCTGGATCGTACATACCAAATGATTCTTGTGAATTTTAGTGTGCCTGAGGTGGCAGACACTGAAAATAGGGTATAGATTCACAGGCAAGTTTGCAGTCAAATGTGAATAAAACAGCTAATTCTAGGGGGGAAGAAAAAAGGAAAAAAACCCACCAATTTACTATCGTTAAATCATTATCTGACCATTACCCCATCTTATAAAATTTTAAAATAGCAACACTGAGATTTGATTTATCAACTGTTATTGACTATCAGTTTGAATGAAAGCAATCAGACACTAAAGCTGTGAAGCTCTGAACAACTTGGCACAGAATGGGGCTGCCAGCACTGCCCTAACGTGGCTGTATTATTTCTGAAAGAGACTGGTTAGTTGGTATGGGTATCTCTGCGTGACCTGGTTTTTGGCCAGAAAAATAACCTTTGCTTAGAAATTACAGTTACTCTGATTTGAGCAAGAGGGGCAAAAAATAAAAATATTTCACTAAATAGATGCTTATTTTTTTGAAGAATACAAGTTTTTACTTCAGCTTCTTCTTCAGCATGCCAAGAGGCTTATTTCAAAGAGTGGGAGAAAAAAAATACAGAAAATACACAAAGTGTGTGAACACAGCAGGTCCCTCCAGCATTTTGTGCAGTGCTCAAAATACAAAGAAAACACAAACAATGAAGAAATAAGGTCTGACTTTCCAGCTTGTCATTCCTGAATTTAAAACAATAACCTGGGGCTAAAGATGAGCAAAGAAGGTCAGCTAGAGGGCTGGAGGGAGCAGAAGGACTGGTGGTTTTGGAGACATCTCGCTTTCCCAAAAGCAGCTGAATAAATTCTGGTGTGCCTCTGACCGAGCAGCAGGGATCTGAGAGGAGTCTCTGAATGCTGCTGAAGCAGTGCTGGCTTTTCAAGCCAACAAAATGCTCCTTGGCTTGCTCACATTTGTGAGAGGGGAGCTGGGCTGGCGTGGTCACTGCTGGAGAGGAAGGGAGGAGGAAGAGGGACACCGGGGTCTTCTGAGAGGGGGAAGGTGCTGAGGCAGCACTATTTATTGGCTCAGTCTCCCACTCCATATAGGTGACACGTATCCCACACAAGCTGGAATTTGACCAGCACTGAAAAAAACTTTTTTTTTTTTTTTTTTTTTTTTTTTTTTTTGCAACCGTGGCAAGTGCTGACAGATCAGAGGAGCAATTTTTCTAGCACTGAAATCCTTTTGGCAGAGTACAGTGTGGACAGTATGCCTATTCTTAGAAATTATTATCCTACTAATCATTGCTAAGTACTTTAAAACAATATATTATGTGCTAAATGCAGGCAGGGAGCTCAGTAGTGCCCAGAAAGGGAGGACTATACAGATTGTACCCTAGAGTTTACAGTCTAAAACATTATTGTTGCTGGATGCAAAGCAATTGGGAAGATGAAAGGACTGCACAAAATCACATTACCTCAGCTCAAAGCAGCACTGCAGCCCACTGAAACCAGTAAGAGACTTTCTGTGCAGTCCATTGTCCTGGGATGGAACCCAGGGAATGGATGAAGGGATGGAAGCTTCTTGGGCGCTGTTTGCCTGGGTGGGCACCTGCCTGCTGGCTTGGCTCCTTGCTTCTCACTGCTCCAGCTCTGCCACAGTGCTGGAGAGAGCCAGGCTGGCTCTGCCCGGTGCTGTGAGGGTTTGGGAATTTTGCTGTCCAGGGAAAGAATGTTGTTATGTCTAATTCTTAATGCAGCGCTGTCACCGGGAGGCTGCAGGCAGATTTGTTTACTTGACAGGCTCTGCTAGCTTGACTTTCTAAGGGTAAAAAAAACTACGTTGCTGTGTGGAAAGACTTCTATAGGAAGGGATCAACCTTCATCAGTTGCATCAGTCTGTGGTTGCTCAGAGCCATCAGGGCCACTCAGGTGTGTCTGACTGTGATCTCTGCTGTCTAACAACAGCACAGGTCTGACACAACAGCTAGGCTTGATCTCTTCCTGCAGGAGACTCACGAGGGCACATTTTCCTGCACTAGGGCTGGTTTCTGTCTTTCAGAGTTCTATTGCTGAGGTCTAAACCTTCATGGAACCAAAAATGCATTAGCCTTCATGATTAGCTTGCGTGTTGTTTTTATATTACGTGAAAGCAATTTCTTGTTTCTTCTTGTGGCGTGATAATGGTTAAATTATGTCTTAAAGTGAAGAAATGTTTGCAGAGGTTGTTGATGACTCAGATGGTTTCTAGGACAAACCATTGTTTTAAGAGCAGCATGTGCTTGTTCAGTAGACACCCTCAATAGACACCCTCAATGCCATCAAACATAACTAACAACACTGACCAAAAAAGGTATTTGTCTTGATTTTGAGAAAGCATAAATATTTAAATCAAAGCAAAAACATAGCTGCTGCCTCAAAAGGCCTGTGGAAAAATAGCAAGAACCATCATATCTGGAATTGTGACTTTATAAAACATCTTTAATGCAATAAATATCCATCCTGTTTGTTGAAATAACTACATGTGCTGTGTCTGTACTAAGGCCAGCAAGGAGAGCTGCTATTAATGATTTATTAACATGTAATAAAATTATGTGCAGCTCTGTATATTTTTAGATATGAGATAATATTTTGCATATAAACACATACACAGAGATTAACACATACAGACGAAATCCTGTGGAAAACATACATTTATGTGGTATGTGTTTGCTCTACACTAAATGTTTTCAGTTGTATTCATGCTCCCTATGCTTAAATGAAAAAATAATACTGAGGAATTTTAACAGTTGGTCTCAGATTCATCGTCTCATATTTCCTGAAACATTTAAAATTGCAACTGTAATCTCATGCTTCCTATGCTGAATTTATTTTGGACCACAAGCTAATGGAAAAAAAAATAAATTAAGTCAAAGATTGCGAGGATTTTGTCATATCTAAACAATATAAAGGAGTTGAAGTCTCAAAAATTTAATCTGAGACAGCATGTAACTATTTGTTCCTATTATGTTATTGGCACCCCTCTCATTAAGGGCAAATAATTTTATTAGTTTGTTTAAGAATTTCAAGCTCCTAAATCTTTCAAAATGAAACCTGCTACTAACAACTTGTCCCAGAAAGTCAACAAAGTAAAACAAACTTTGTAGTTTTTTGTATCTAATACTACTGAAGATCAGACATCTAATGTGATTCATGCACAAAGTACAGTGGATGGTGAAGTCTCAGATCCCTTAAAAAAAATTTAAAACTCCACTATGCATTTAAGATGTGCAACTCCCATCTATCACTTGACTTTTATTCTTTCCTTTCAAGAGTAAAAACAGCAACTTTGCTGCTTGCTTTTCATCTTTAAGTGACCTGACTCTAAAGTGCTGCTGTTTTCTGCTATTTCACAGGACACAATCTCTAAACCTTTCCTGTCCCTTTTATAGATTAACTATTGGATTTGTGGTGAAGTTGTACCTGTCCCAAGTGTTTTTCTGTTAGGTGAGTTTTGCTGTGGGGGAACAAGCTGTGCAGAAGAACACAGCTCAAGAGACAGATGAAGTAGTGAGTGGGTTCATTAGATCCTCTGGGGCATGGGAACTCTCAAAAAGTAAGAGCTCCAATATTATTTTTTTTAAATAGGATAATAATGGCTTAAGATGTTTAGTATTTTACTTATATTTAAATCAGAGATTTTCCTTTCTGTAAGTGGTCCAAGGTGCATGTTCAATTCAAAGGCAAAATCTTGTGATGTCAAGGAGTCCTGATTTAACTGTAATGATACATATAGTAAGAATTTGCTAATTTTTTTTCCCCAAAGACATGAAAAGTTATACCAAGATTAAAAAGATAATACTCTACAAAATTGTGATGTCAAAAGTACCTATTTCTGGTGGAGTTATGTCCTATTGAACTTGATCCTCATTTAAATCCAGAGTAAAATTAAAGCCATTTTTGGATGTATGTACAGAAGAATACCATGTAAGAAGAAGAAACTGCTGAGAAATTTAGGCAGGAAAATTGAATTATATCAGGTTGGAATTTGGATATTTGTTTAGACTAGCATTTTTGCTTATCACAGATACCACTCACTTCCTAGTTCCTCTACTTCATTATTAACTTCTTGGGTTGAGCTTTTGACCTAGAAATCGTAATTCCACTGCTTTTAATGGTCTGCATCTCAACACTTGAAGTTCGAGGTACATAACTCACAGTACTGACTGATAAGCAGGTAGTAAAAACATTGTTTGAATACTATTGGTTATCCCATAGCAAATTTCCATTGAGACTTGCACGATGCTGTTGTCCATTCTCATTTCATTTTTGAACCAGGTCACACTCACACAAAATTGGAATGCAGGGTAATGCATGGGTCTAACAATAATAAGGCAGCAGCTGTGAAAAAATCATAAAAATTCAAAAGTTAAGGTCCCAGCTGAAGGTAAATTTTTTCTTTAAAAAGCATGTAATCCTGATATGTTTTATGGTTGACATATTGAGTTTTTTCAGGCTCCAATGTCCAGATCAGTAGCTGGAATGGAGACTGCGTCCACACCAGGAAGTGATGCTAAGAGAGTGGGTGTGCCTGCTTACAAAGCCACAGATGCCTTGAGGCAATTAGGAAGGACTGGAAATTGTACAGACATACAATAATTCATTTCTGTTCCTTAGTGTTTATTATAGAAATGTTCAAGCTGGAGACTTGGCTCGCTCCATGTTAACGATATAACAACTTCCACTATTGTTTTACAACAATAAATACTTCTGATAGTAAAAAGACATATTTTACCAACAGATTCCATGCAATATGACCCCATGCACTGCAATATTTCTTGGGAGAAGCGTCACAGACAGCATCCTGGCAGTTACTGCAGCAGTTGTTCATCTCCATGAAAAACATCCAGGCCAGGTGAGTGAAAGTGAAAAACCTCCTGGTTTTTGTTTGTTGTTGTTTTTTTTTTTTTTAAGAGCTCTGCCCTATGGTTCATTCTGGTTTTTGTTTGTTGTTGTTTTTTTTTTTTTTAAGAGCTCTGCCCTATGGTTCATTTTGGTTTAAGGAACAAAACTAGAAACTGTGGTTTCTAGTGGTTCCTCTCATTTTATTAACAACCCTGTTTTCTGACACTGTAATAAAAATTAGTTATGCCATTCTAGGTCATCAAAAGTTATGCCATTCTAGGTCATCAAAATAGGTTTCCTTCTTCTGCACGTATACTGACTTGGACTTGTCATCTCAGTTGTAGGACAGAAGACATTATTTAACATCTCAGAGAATGCAGCAAATATGGGCAGAAAAGAGGGAAGAGGTGGAAGATAGAAAGAGAGGGTAAACAAACACCGTTTTACTAAATACTTTTCAGAAGGTTCTGTGATGCAGATGTGGGTTGAATTGAAACTGGTCTTAATTTTAGCATGTGGTTGAGGTTGAAAGTGATTTTCATACATGGTGCTGTGTTTCTCTCTGTCATCATATTATTATTTATTGATTTTAATTTACTTCTCCTTTCCAGAGCTAGTGGAGCTTTCCAGAGCTTTCCCTTGCCTGATTGCCGATTTATACATGGCCTGCTTCTCCCTTTTGTTTTTACAATGTGCTTTTAAAAAAGAATGAATAAAGGCAGCTCTGCACATCTTTTCTTATCTTCCTTCTAGAAACAAATATGTCCAAAAGCTTGGCAACAGTAGTCCAAAGATAAATCACCTTGTTTTACAGGACTTTGCAGAACCAGCTGCTAACTAATGGTCAGTTTGATAGAACCATTAATGGGAAAATCCCATTTACTACCAAGAATTCAGGAAAACTTTTTCATCAGATATGGTGCAGAGTGCATTTTATTGCAAAATATCTTTGTCCTTAATGAAGCAGGGACAATATTGCAAACAACTGGTATTCCAATTGCTAATAAAAAATTGTCTTGGGGATCAAAATCAGAGATAAATATGTAGGTATTCATATTAACCAGCTTCTGGCAGCATAACAGAGTTGCCACAAACAACATCAAACTCAGTATATCCAGGGAACCTGTGTCAAGAAAATAATTCCATTTTAAAATAGCAGATATCACATCTTCATCACTGAAATGTCAAAATATTTGAACTAAGAAAATGTAAATATTAATGGATTAAACTAACCTGCCAAGTTGCAGTTGGAGAGCATTCCAAGTAGGAAGATGGTGAGTTTTACCAAAAAGTAAAAGCTTGAATTATGGACTTTTAAAAATTTGTTTGTTCAAAACTGAAGTTTTGTGCCATGTGTAATCAATTTCTGGTTGTCTTTCATTGCACTAAAGTACTAGGAAAATTTCTGTCAGCATTAAGATTAACCTGCAGAATTTATGCACATGGATATTTATTCTTAAATATCTACTTTTGATTAATTGCTTTCAATTATCTTCCTGTGTAGGTGCTCTTATAGGAAATATGTGTCTAATTTTGGATGTGGTAGCTATTACACACACTTTACATGTCTCACCACAGTATAGATTAACTTTCTGTGTAGACAAAAGTATATTTTCTATTTTATAACCCTTTAAAGGTAAACTTAATGTCAAAATCATAATCCTTGAAGGGCCTAGTAATATCCATCACAAGAGATGGAGCTGGAAGAAACAGAAAATCTTTGGTGTGCACATGCTCTTCGTTAGATCTCAGATGCCTGAAAGCTTTCCTGTATTTGCTTTCCCTACAAACTTTATAATGCTTTTTGCCTTAAAATGACAGGTACAGAACCACTGCTATGTATAAACTCATTTCTTTTCTTCTCATTATTATGAAAAAAATAACCTCATGTTAGAAGACAATGGTGTTTGTTAAGTGACATTTATCTTATTTTGCTTGTAAATTATATTTAATTTCTATACAAAAACCTTGTATCTTTTTATTGGATAAAAAAACTGTTTGTGCGTAATAATATGCTTCTTTATGGTTTGAAGACTCTGATGTTTAGCCTTTGAAAGTTTCTGAACATGTTACTTTCCACTGTCAGTTATTTTTTCCTTTTACTGTACCTTGCAAGAGCCATGACAAAGTAATGATTCAGTGTAGGAGATATAAACCAGATTTAAATACTTAGCATTTTACTTCAGGCATCTGGCTCATCCAGTCATATTTAAATATAATCAAGATATTCTTGAAATACTTTTAAGTTTATATTTCAGGGGAAAGGCAAAATAAAAATTCCTGTGAAAATAAAACCAAACTGACATTGCCTGTATCTGGACACTGTGTCTCCTCCTGGCTTTTTCTTACTTTTCCTGCTGCAAAAAGAAATCTATTTGGGGTCATCTTAGAAAGACTTCTGTCCTTTCAGGATGACATTGACCCATGGATCACTATTGTGAACTGTATTTGTATTTCTGTGTGCATTAAAAATTACTGATCTGGCAGAAAGTTCAGCAGCAAATTCTATATATCATAACATCACAGTTCACAATTTTCACTATTCACAATTTTACTGAATAGAGACAAGTAACACTTCTAGGACATAACTCCTTTCTGTGCTTATTTAGACAATTTAGTATAATTTTGTTCTTCTGGGGTTTTATGGGGTTTTTTTATTTATTGTTGTTGTAGCTTTTTTTGTTTGTTTGTTTGTTTTTCTAATTACCAAACAGATGTTAGTATTCATGAGATGCAATTGTAAAAACTCAGTGTAGAAGAATAAAGGAATAGGTATTGAGGATTAATAGCAGTTCAGGTGATCTGTTGAGAGTCACCAGTGCAATAATCTGTGTTCTGGCAGCAGAGCTCTTGTCATGGCCCCAGGGCTGTGCAGCATCCATCTGTCCTTGGGCAGAGTTCCTGCAGAAGGTGGGGGCTTTTGAGGTGGGGTGGAGTGTGATATAATATCTGACTGGCTCCAGCTCCAGGTGCCAATGCTCAAACATTGTTCCTAAGAGAGTAGCACTTATAAAGTGATCTGAATAAATAGTTATGTTCCATCCAAGTGGGAGGTCAGTTGATGGGCATCATGTTGCTTCTGAGAAACCACTGTGTGACCCCAGTTGACACAGAAAGTGATGATTTCCTTGTCTCATTTGGTAGACAACTGACCACACACCACTCTGCTGGGAACCTGTTCCTTTGGAAGCAGCAATGAGTATTAAGCGATTTGGGGTTTAAAGAAGTTGAAGGGAAAATACTCTGCAGGTCACAGAGGCATATACTCCACCACTGCATCTTGGATCTGGTTCAGTTGCCTACAGTCAGTTTCTGATTGGAAGAAAAATATTAGAACTCGAAGGTATCACTCTTCTGCAGAGATCAAGGTTTGGTTGCAAAACAAATATTTATTTCACTTTCAGATTTGTGATTTTAAATGCCCTGGAAATAACATTCTTAAAACTCTCTCCTGTCCTGGAAAGAAGAAACACAGAACAGGAGCCTCTTGGGAATACTGATCTGCCAAGGGAATAAATGGATTTATGCAGCATTATTTAACAGCTACTGCCCGGAATATTGTTAGGAGCCATAGATCATGGTTGCAACACTAAAAACTCTGGAACGGGAACAAAATTTCAGTTTTGTTTTCCTCCTGTCTCCAACTGCTTTATTCTGTCGGTGCTGTTTTTTGACAACTGTGTAAGCAATGTGAATATTTTGCCTGTGTAGCTCAGAAGCATCATATTATGTTCAAGCTTTATCCAGGACACAGCTCTTAGAGATAAGGAACGTCCAGCCTTCCTCCTCCCTCCCTGTCCCCATTACTGGAAGATAGCCCCAGTAGCTTTGTACCTTAACATGAGAACTGGAAAGGACTTACTCCACCCACCAAAACATGACAAAGACAGGATATATCTTTAGTACATCTAGATAATTCAGTCCTGTTTTAAATAGTCAAATGAAAAGAATTCTTGTATATGCCCTGGGAGACTGTTTCCCAGTTTAACAAGATTGTTTTATTCTATTGAGATCCTGTGTTTTCCACATTTGGAAATGAGCACAAATGACCATTGTAATATTCTAATCATATTTTTGCCCCAATACAACTCACAGAACTTTCTGAATTAATTTCTGTTGTAGTCAAACTGCTTTCAAGAAACAGAGACCCAACTGCAAACTTGGTGAAGTATTCCAGTTAATTGTTTTTCTTTTAAATGTATGTTTGGCTTCACTTTCTAGCTACATTGCACCACTAGTAACAGATGTGTATATTTTTTCTGGGTTTTTTTTCCACATTTTTTGTTTCCTTATAAAAGAAATTACAAATTATCCACTACAGTTATTATTCTTGAATTACAGATTTTTGGGTGTGTAAATCTCTGCAACCTGAAATACCCACAATGCCTGCCCTTTTGGAGTTTTTAAAGTAGGTTATTTCTGCCTTTCTACTCCTATTGCTGGACTAACTCCTCTAAGCTGTAATGGTGACAGGGAGATAAAAATCTCTGATAAAATTTAAACTCATGGAGTTATCATATCAAAGCAGATCATTGTTGGACCAGGTTCCAGGCTCACCTAGTACAGAGGAATGATTATTACATCCTGTGTCATGAAATTTTGGAGGTCTAATATTACTTTATTTTTAAACTCTTTTTATTTATTTTTTTTTTCATACCTCATGGTATGGAACAAAATGAGGATTAAGTGGCATGTTTAGACTAATGTTTTGACTGACTGGCAAGTGTAATTCAAGAATTAAATCCCCATCCAGTTGCAAATAGACAAATTTTTGCCATTCATTCATTCCCAGTACCTTTTGAGCAAGAGCTTTCCATAGGTTCTTCTGTTAGAAATTTCCTTCATATTTTCAGAAATCTCCAAAAATCTGCACTGAAATTAAAACTAAGTTCCAGGGGGTATGAAGAGATTGCTGAAACATGATGACAGGTTCCCCAGAAAAACTGTGGAGTTCCGTCCACTATTTCATGTTGAAAAGATGTTGAAAACTTGACCAGAGATGGTGTTGAGCAACTTTCTGTAGCTTTGAAGCTGGCCCTACTTTGTGTGTAATGTTAAACCAGATGATATCCAGACCTCACTTCTGATGTCCTATTTTTCTGCAAATCTGCTTTTTCATTTTTTAATCAGCGATTTCTAGAACTGAATCTGCTAAGTTTCTGGTTTCATTGTCTTTAAATACTGCAGTCACACAGCACCAACAGCCTGCAGAACTGGAGCATATGAAGTGCTTACAGTTTCTCCTCAGATTTCTGCATCAGATGTGGGAGATTGAACACAAGGTTTTCCTGGAAACTCTTGGTTCTGGGTAAATCTTCAGTAAGCACAACCTTTAGGTTTTTAATTGGCATATGATTGTAGAATGGCTTAAATTCAGGAATGAGTGAAAGGCTATAATATGCTGCTATATGTTATTCCCAGATTGAAAAGAGAAAGTCTGATGAATGTCTTTGGTGATCTCTTGCCATGGTTAACAGGGATGTCAAAAATAGTGAGTGGTCTCACTGATATTTTAAAAGCAGAAATGCTTTCCTGATCTTCAGTTATGAGAAAGTACAAAGAAATAAGAAGCTTGTAGTAACATTAAAGAGATTTTGTTTCAGTTTCTCAAATTTAGAAGTAAAAGAAAGAAGAGTGGTTCCTTAAAGGAACTGACAGGTTTTATGGGTTAGCCATTACCATGGGTAGATCTGAGTCACTCAGAACCAATGCAAAGTGCTCTAGAAGTTTACATTAGTCATGTTGTCATAGCTGTAGGAGGAAAGAGATGCCCAATTAGGCAGTAAATAATCTTTGGAAAGTGACTGTTAGAAGACAAAAGCTCTGCATTGTGTTTCCACACCCCCAACACTCATAGTTCTGACTTTTCCATGCTTTAAATTTAAATTTTGCAAAGTTGCAAAAAATTTACTTGTTTGTTTTTGTGTTTTGGTTTTTTTTCCCATTGGATCTTCCCAATTCTTCTGTCGATCTGTTCACCTGCTTTGGTGTCCTTCACAAAAGCTTCTAAAGCTCCTTCTAAAGCAAATGTACTAGTCATTAACAAAAAAACTGATATAAAAACATGCTTGGTACTTACAGCTAAAATAAGATATATATAATGAAGTGTATGAAAGAAAATAATCCATGCAAACAAAACTGTCTGATGGTGGATTCTATGTTTCTTTTCAGGCTGTCATAAGGGTATTCAGGACCCTGATTGCTGGAAATCAAGTTTCAGAACATTAACTTAGCAGTTGTTTTGTGATAGTGGATCAATATTTATTTATTGACTAGTACTAGAATTAGAGGTAAGATTTCTATTTCTTTCCATTTCTGTCATAGAATATCTGGGAAAAACAGAAGAAGAGTATCTGTACTATCATCACAAGAAAATAATGTTGAAGTTGTATTCCTTACTGTTAGTCTTTTCAAAATA